AACTTCTTTCTGCCTTTTCAGCTTTTTTTTGTGCTAATTTCAGCCTTTTTTTTCAGTTAATTTCTTAATTTCTGCTTATTTAAACCCAGTTTATCAAATATGTGTTCTTTTCGCTTTCTTCTGCTAACTTAGGCTTGTTCTTCCATTTTAGCATGTTTTTAGCTAATTTTGGCTGTTTTTCCAGTAAGTTCTTCAGCAATAAGTGTTCACACTGCATTTTTGCAGGAAATACAATTCCTCTAGTTGCACAATAGCGTCACAATTCTGCCCTCTGACTAACTGAACTCTTAGTTATTTAATATTTCACAGCATCTGTCAAAATATAACAAGTTAAATTTGGTCAAATACAAATGGGCCTCTCTTTAGTAATTTACCACAATGTTCTCCGCGGCAGAAAGTGATTGAACGTTAACAATTAAAAGGTGCTAATTCGATGTCAAAAAGCAACGTATTTCTAGTCGACACATGATATATTCAACACTTAATTGGAATTTCGACTTTTTCTTTAGCGGGACCCCAATCAGAGTGAATTCTACAGGGGTGTAATGAATCGAACGTTCGTATTTGGGCTGTTAAAGGCACTCCGAGTGTGAATTATTTAAATGCTAATTAATGTTTTAAGCTCTCCGAGTAGCAATAGGCACATATTATTCCTCAGCTCCCTACAAATGCCTAATTTCAGCGCGGGCTAAGTGCAGCGTAACCTCTGGCTCATATTTCATTCAATCAATTCAGAAGCAGTGGAGGTTCTTCCACGTATAGGCAGATTTTTATTTATTTTTTAAACCCGGTGATGGGAGATGGAATCCATCAATATTGGGAGACAGTTGCTGGAATTACTTATCAACTCTTAGCGGAGGATTCAGTCACCCAGGAGCCGAACTGATGAATCGAGGGAAATGTGATTCAAACCTACTTCGGCTGTGATTTGGTCTCAAATATCAGAGAAATCACACGAGAATGTGGAATTTATTTACAGTGTTTATACATTTATACGTCTTTTTTCCTGCCCACGTGCCTTGAAAGGTGTGCAATGATGTGTGTGTGTGTGTTTGTCTGTCTGTTAGCAAAATATCTCATGAACGACTGGATGGATTTTAATGAAACTCGTCTATAGTGATCACCGGATGAGTGTCTACAACTGATTAAATTTTGGAGTCATCACTTCTCAAGATGGCTGCCACAGCTAAGCAAACTTGGCAAACACAAAAATGGCTATTACGCAGTAAATTTCAAAGAAGCTGAGCTCAAATTTGATGTGGTAGTAGCTGAGAGTCACGCCCAACACAAGCTTTGAAGGCTTACAAGTCATGCAACACGATTCTTTAAAAATGTTGGTATCAACTATTAAAGTTACGCACATTCTCTGTTGTCAAAACATCTCATAAATCAGATAATGGGTTTCAATGAAGCTAGCTGAAATGTAATCCTTGGACATATATCTACAACTGATTAACCTTTGAAGCCAAACAAACACAACTTAATTCAGTTTACAGACACTGAACTGAGATTTTTTGTGCCAGTAGCAGAGAGTAATCCAAAACACATGCTCTGAGAGCTAACGGATCATCTGTTTTAAATGCGGCGGGCGATGTTGAGTGTTTCCAGGAGTGCCGGTTCCTTTTTGTTTCTGTCTGATCAGAGCAGAGCAGCGGGACCTAAAGGAACTTCGCAAAACGAGGCTTAACTTTGAGCACAAATCAACTTGGTGAAGTTAGGACGCAAGCAGACGTGCCATCGCTCATTTCTCCACAATAGCTGGTGTATTCATCACGAGACAAAGGAGATTTTCACTCGTCTTGACATAGATGGACGAGGGCCACGAGGTTATTACTCACGTCTGGTGAAAACAGGAAGCAACTGGATGTCACGATACAGTGTGCTTATTAATGCAAACAAAGCCCCCCACCAATAAAGGATATAGATGGCATTTTCCTTCCCGTCAAAGCACAACTATTAATTGTGTTTAAATATGTGATGTATTACAGTTTGAGCGGCTCCACTTGTGTATTGTTTCACCAACAGGGTGTGTTTTATATAGATCACCAGTGTGTGAAGTATGGCACAGTCAGAACTTAAAGCTGTACTTTCAGTGTGCACCACAAGATGGAAGTGCAGCTTCACGACCAGACTCCCTCCAGCTCAGCTCCTCGTCCTGTTCACCCAGGTGGACTTCAGCCTTGAATGTCACAAGCTGCTTGTAAAGTGATTGTTCTTATCAGGAGGCCACTTAATCTTGTCAAATAAATCATCGCACCCTTTTATCTGAACCTTTAAAGCAGCTCAAACTGGTTATGATTTAACCAGGCTGTTTTCAATGGCCACTTTTCAAAGCGGCTCAGCATTATTCAATTCAATTCAGCTTATTTATACAGCGCCAAGTCACAGCTGAAGTCAACTCAGGGCACTGAACAGAAATATATATATATATAAAGTACCGTAAGTTAATAACATTATTTATCTGAGGAGCAGACTGCTTTGAATTTAACTTCATCGCAGACTCTCATTGAGCAAGCATGAAGGCGACAGTGGAAAGGAAAAACTCCCTCATGAGGAAACCTTTAGCAGAACCAGGCTCAGGACAAGCGGCCATCTGCTTCGACCGGCTGGGTTTGAGGGGAACAGGAAGGAGGAACAGATACACAATGGCAGGTCAAGAACCACATGTTAAGATAGAAATAATATCAAATGAAAACTATTCAATTTTAACAATTCATTTTAAGCAATTATGTCAATTTGTCCTCCAGTAGTTTAAACCTATAGCAGCATAACAAGCCAACCCTAACTATAGGATTTATCAAAAAGGAAAGTCTTAAGCCCAACTGGACAATAGCTATGTTTACATGGACATAAGTAATCGGATTAAACGGCCATTCGGAATAAAAATGCATCATGTAATCGCCCCATTCAGATTATTCTGAGCTGATTCAGCTCGATCCGAATGAATTTGTAATCCGAATGAGACGGGTGGTTTATGGCGATTCATAATCCGAACGGTGTGCATGGAAACACTTAATCTGTTCATTTTATTCCGATCGTGGAAAACTGACCTGACTGCGCAAGTGCGACCTGTCAACCTCACGTATTTTCGCCTGGCTAGATGTTAATAATATTAGCATGTCGGGGAAGCAAAACTGGTTTCTACTAGAAACTTTGAAAGAGCTCAGAATTATTTGTATTACCTGTAGCTCAATCAGGGAGTGCAGTAACGTCTCCACCGTCATTATGTTTATTCGTTTGTTCATTGTTTATGTTCATCCCGGAAGTAGAACTTCTTCTTCTGTGTTTTTTTTTTTTAAGGAAAGTTTACCACTCTGCACATATCAGTACTTCCATTCAGAATAAAAGCCTGTTGCATGTAAACGTTCATCATGAACGGATTGTGCCCATGTGGATTATTCTATTTTAATACATTTCAATCTGAGCAAAGAGTTTTGCACATGTAAACATAGCTAATGTGTCAGCCTCACGGACAGAAACTGAAAGTTGGTTCCACCAGAGAGGAGCCTGATAACTGAAATATTTTCCTTCCATTCTGCTCTTGGAAACTCTAGGTACCACAAGTAAGCCTGCACTTTGAGAGAGAAGTGCTCTGTTAGGAAACTATGGAACAATAAGATCTGTAATACAAGATGGAGCTAGGTTGTTGAGGGCTTTGTAGGTTAGAATATTTTGAATTGTTTTCTGAATTAGCTGCATTTGAGTTTTAAACTAAAATCACCTTTATAATGAAAAAGAACAGAGTTATAATCTTGGAGTATGTGTTCTGGATGACTCACAGCTACTACCATACCAAATTTTCCAGGACATGCTTGTAAAAGAGATTGATGATCTCAGTGGATTTCTTCCTGGTAAAATAAAGTAATAAAAACAAAACAAAGCAAAACATTTCAGTTGAATATCTGTAAAATTCACTGCGTTATATGCAATTTTATGTTGGTTAATGTCCAGTAGATGTAGTAGCCACCTCAAATTGGGATGACTGAGTTGTAGAAGTACAGCAAATTATTAATTTCATAGGGTTTCATAAAGATCCAGCCGTTGAGTCATGAAATATTTTGCTAACAAACTTTATATAGGGTTGACTCTAACAATTGTTGTTGAGGTTTGAAATAAAAATAACTGACAATGTGTAGTGCTTGAGGCATGATACTCTATTAAAATCCATTCAGTGGTTCAGAAGATATTTTGCTGACAGACCAACAGAGTTGACTCCTGTGATAATGTCATATTAAAACCAGATCTTTAAATGATAGTACTTAAGTCTACGAGTCTCAAAAACAAACGCACCATATTTTAGTTTAGCGTCTCCAAAACTGGCTAATTTATAGCTTTTTGTGTTTACTAAGATTGATTTGCTGTGGTAGCCATCTTGAATGTGGTTGATTTCAAAAGTTAATTGATTGCAGATGTTCATTCATTACCTTCCAAGTTTCTTGGCAGAGGGAAGTAGTACGTTTGAAATACTCTTTCATTTCCAGACCATTAATGCATGTCAGGCCACTTTTGATAACTTAAATATTCTATAATCTGTTATTCCAAAAGGGGCATGCCATATATAAACTGAGTAAGTAAATGTACACTTGTTTCTTTCTTTGTTTTTTTTTTTTTGTGTATGTGTGTGTGACACTAGAAAGTGACCATTTTTCTCTTCAAGTTAAACTACCACAAATCATGTTTTGGTATTAACTGCACCTTGGTTTTATGCCTTATCAATCTTTATAGGTCAGAGTTAAAACTTCCAGTCAGCTTCAAACATCTTTATTATCATGCCATATTTTTGTACTTCAAATTCATCATTGTTCATGAGATGCCATTAGCACAATTTAAGGACTGATTTAAACCTTTGACGTATTCTGTGGAGTTGTTAATGCCATTGTAAAAGCAGCAAGTACAAATAATGAAGCTTACAATTTGGCTTTTATTATGTGCTACTAATACTACACTTCTAATTTGTGAGCCTTTAATAAAGTCATATCAATCAACTTGGCCAAATGTTCTCAGTGGGTTTGCCCAGAATTGTGGTGTTTTGAGATGATCTTTGCATATTCCTGCCCATACAGGTACATGGTTCGACTCAGCTTGGCATCAGAGAAGTCCACGTGGAAGAGCCCGAAACGAACGCTGAATCCATCAGCCCATTCGAAGTTGTCCATCAGAGACCACGCAAAATATCCACGGACTTTAACTCCATCTTCCTGCATAGCTGAGCACAATAAAAACATAGAAGGGATGTGTAAATTCTATACAAGCGTTCCCCAATCAGAATCTTTCTCCTTTTATTATGGTTAAAGTTGTCTTATGAATACATGACTGTAAACATGACATGGGAACAATGTTGTCAATATGTCAGTCTACCTCTCTCTGCATATTTAGAAATACTTCTTAGGTCATCTTGATTAAAAAAAATATATATATATATTTTTAGTTTCCCTGGTATTACCTTTAGCCACTTCCAAGATGGTGCTGCTGGAAAACTCACAACGTTGAACATCCTCCATCTGCAGAGGCCCCATCTGAGAGAAGCCATTCTCTGTAATGTAGACTGTTGGGTCATTGAAGGTGTCCTGGGAAGTCATAAAGGAAATGTTTTTGTCAAACAGGGCATCATGGTTGTCAGCCATTCAGAGCAAAGACAGATTGGTCTACAACGTTCTATTTAGCTTTATTTTAAGGCACTTGCTACAAACTAATGGACCACAACAAGTTACAACAGGAGGAAATGGTTTGTTTGCAAACACGTTTTGATAAAGTAACTGTTTCATACAATGTGACAGAGCTAATGATGCGTCAACGTGTTTCTAAAGGTGTCTACAATAGATTACTGAAAATAAAATAAATGGAAAGACACTAAAGAAATGTCAGACGGGTTCTCTTTGTGTGACTGAATGTTGTTCATCATGAGAAGATAAAAATAAAATTTTAAGGGAAATTCAGGTCATTAATGAAGTGATGTTCTGTCAAACGATAGATGGTTATCATCCTATCAGCTGTAACATTAGTCATTGAACACGGTATGTGGAGAAAAGTGCATGAGTCTTCATGCAGGCTAGGCTAAGGACTAGCCAAAACTCCAACTCCTCTTTTTTGCAGTCTCCCAGATAAGTGAAATTGTCACCCTGCCTCTAAGGGGAGTCCATCCATCCATCCATTATCTTTACCCGTTTATTCCATTTTGGGTCATGGGGGTCGCTGGTGCCCATGTCCAGCAATCACTGTGCGAGGGGCGGGGTACACCCTGGACGGGTCGCAAGTCCATCACAGGGCCACATAGAGACAAACGAGACAAACAACCATTCACTCTCTCACTCACACCTAGGGACAATTTTAGAGTTACCAATCAGCCTAACATGCATGTTTTTGGTCTGTGGGAGGAAACCGGAGTACACGGAGAAAACCCACGCATGCACGGAGAGAACATGCAAACTCCACCCAGAAAGACCCCTGGACCGGGGTTTGAACCAGGGACCTGTTCGCTGAGAGGCAGCAGCTCTACCAGTTGCGCCACTGTGCTGCCTAAGGGGAGTCCATCCACCTTAAATTAAAAAAACTCATTTTGGCTGTTTGAATCCGCAATCTCATTCTTTCGGTCTCTACCCAAAGTTTGTGACCATAGGTGAGGGTAGGAACTTAGACTGACTGGTAAACAGAGAGCTTTGCTTTGCAGCTCAGCTCCCTCTTCACCACAACGGACTGGTATCTGCAATACTATGGAAGCTGCACCAATCTGTCTGTCGATCTCCCACTCTTTCCTCACTCCTGAACATATCCCAGAGATACCTAAACTTTTCCACTTGAAGCAGCACCTCATTTCCAACTGCACTTCACTCCAAATCCACCGTTTTCTGACTGAGAACAATCGCCGCAGATTTGGAGACGCTGATTCTCATCTCAGCTGCTTCACAGCTGCTGTGAACCGCTCCATTGAGAGTTGGGAATCGTGGCACAATGATGCCAACAGGACCACATCATCTGGAAATAGCAGCTACCAAATTCTGAGGCCACTGAACCGGACTCCCTCTGCATTCTGGCTGCACCGAGAAGTTCAGTCCATAAAAGTTATGAACAGAACTGGTGTCAACACCCCTGGCAGAGACTAAAACTAAACTCTCACACTGCTTGTATAGGGACTGAATGACCTGTAGCAATGGACCCCCAATCCCAAACTCATGGAGCACCCTCCACAGTGTACCTCAAGGAACACAGTGAATGCCTTCTCCAAATTCACAAAACACATGTAGACAGGTTGGTAAAACTTCCATGCCCCCTGAAGGACCCTAGTGAGGGTAAAGAGCTGGTCCAGTGTTCCACAACTGGGACGAACCCACATTGTTTTTCCTGAATCTGAGGTTCGACCATCGATTTTCTCCAGCACCCCTGAATAGACCTTATTGGAAAGGCACAAGAGAGTGATGCTCCTCTAATTGGAGCACACTCCATTCCACCCTTTTTGAAGAATGGAACCGCCAACCTAGTCTGCCAGTTCCGTGGCACTGACCCTGATGTTCATGCAATGTTGCAAAGACATGTCAACCAAGATAGCCCAGCAACGTTTTCAAAGTAACACAGTCACTGTTTGGTTTATAGACAATCTAACTAAACAAATGCCATACAAAAGTGTACAGGTTTAGTAACAGCTAATGTTCATGGCCAAAGCCAATGTAAACATGTTCATGTTTTTAGTATTCTAGTATTCTACATTGCGTTATAATTTTTTGTTTCGTTTTTTAATACGATTTTCTTTCATTGATTCTTCTCAATTTACTTGACTTTTTTTTATGATTGACTCTAAAAAGACTAATCACTGCTTTCTCACATTCATACACTGATGGGACACACATCGGAGGCAATGAGGGGTTCAGTGTCTTGCCCAGGGACACGTCAACATGCGGAATCGAAGCCCCAATTGTACCATTGGAAGACGACTTTCCTAACCACTCAGCTACAGCAGAATCTCTTAAAATGTACATTATTCCTTTAAAGCCATAATAGCTGTAAAAAAAAAAAAACACGATTTTTCAGTGTTTCTGATTTTAATTTTTATGCTTCTTTATGGCTTTAGAAAGTCAAAAAGAAAAGAAAAGATCCCAATGCTTTACCTTTTGATATAGGAATGATTATTTTGATGCTTTTATGTCAATTTATACTTATTTTACACTCATTTACATGTAGTTTGAAAACACACTTATACAACATGTTATTCACATATTAGGGATTGTATTTTGTATTATGTTTTATAAGGTGTTAAGTCGCCTTTATGCCTGTTCAAACATATACTTTGTGTGTGTGTTACTTATAATATTTAGACACTCTTTGATGGTTTGCAGAGGGACGGAGGGGTGCTCTTTAGGAATGCTTTAATAAGCATTAGGAGTGCTTTTGACCTGGAAGCTTTGGCCCGCTTTTACGGTCACGGCGCTCCTTACTGGAAGGATGAGCCATCGCTTTGATGATGGTTTAATTAGATCTGTCCTTCTGGTAACCATCAAACTTGTTTTGCACTGCTCTCACGCGATCCGGTAAAAGGTATAAAGGAGGTGTGACAGGCAAGGGAATTTTGGAGGTCTGCCGTGGACTAACGCGCGTGAGTGCCCGGCGCAATTTTGATGTGATTCTTCTTTACCTGGGTCGAAAACGACTTCCCGGCCAGTGTCACGGTGAGAAGTTCTTTCATATCATTTTGTGTGTTAAGAGTGTACGAGTGTACATGTTTTTGCTTGGCTGTTTTCTGTGGCAGGTTAATAAATGACACTTATTATTCCTAGCAGTAACAGTCTCTGTGTTTTATTTTTTCCCTCTTGTCTGAATATCTTGTGCCGATCATTCACGAACCCTTTTGATAAAGAATTTCATAATACACCTTTATAGGCCGGTCCAGATGACCTGACTGAACATTGCTGGATTTTATACCTGGATTATTGAGCATGAACTTTGGTGTTTACCTTTATATATTTCAAAAGTTTCCTTAAGCCATAGGGCACCACAGCCAGCCAGGACACGCCACAAATGGGCCAGGATGGATCTATAAACTCCTCTGCATCTCGATCACTCTTCATACACAACGTTTGCTCAGCATCTCCCCCTGCTTTGACTTTTCGGGACGTATAGTAGTTCAGTGCGAAGAAGTCAGCTGTTCCCAAAATGGTTGGATCATCCTTTGAGAAACTGGGAAGTCTTGGGGGACCGCTGTATCCCAGCTTCTTGCTTCGATGTTCGATGGCAGACCTCATCATTTCTGGATAATCTCCAGTGACAAACACCGGCCAAGCGAACCACCCCAGTGTGAATACAAGATCTCGTTCGGTAGCGGCGATGTCTTCATTAGAGCCAGGATTTAACGGCTCAAGCCAGTCGCTGTTGAGGGCCAACGACACAGCACCCCTCTGCGTGGCTCTGTACTCGGAGTCGTAGCTGTGCCACGCCATGGCGTGAGCTCGCAGCAAGTTGTGCCCAACCTGGTAGGCAGAAATGCCTTTTTCTTTTACCCCTGGAGCATGGATGCCATCTTCATAACCTAGTTTGGCACATATTAGTGGCTCGTTGATTGTGAGCCAGAGTTTGACCCGATCCCCAAATGTTTGGAAGCAAAACTTGGCATAGTTGTCAAAATGTGTTGCTATCCCTGGTGACTTCCAGCCCCCCAGGTCTTCTAGAGCTTGAGGCAGGTCAAAGTGGTATAGAGTGACCATTGGTGATACATGACAGGCCAGCAGATCATCAATCACTCTGTTATAGTACTGCACACCTGTTGGTACAGAAAATGATAAGATAAGAATAACACTAAAATTATTTAATAAAACAATAGCCAAGGCCTGGGTTTGCAAATTACTTTTTAGCTAGGCACCCTATATACAAAGCAATGGTAGCACTCCAACAATTTTCAGTCAGTCAACAGTCAACCAGTTTGACATGACTGTCGACGAGGAAGAGGGCCGGCAACAGAGGAGGGGTCATGCCAAAGACACCATCTTAGCACCAACATAACTGGTTTGTTCCACTTTGAAGTAAGCTGTTTGGGGGAAGAATCAGTTTTGTGTTGTGTGTTTCCTTGACTGATGAAGCCTTCTGGATGGAAGGTGAAACGTTTCAGCAAAAAAAGAAACTGTCCAGATGACCTGACTGAAAATTGTTGGATTGTATACCTGGATTATTGAGCATGAAATTTTTGGTCAACAGTAGCACTGTTCTAACATGCAACGGTATTTTTGCATTGTTCATATTAAAAAATTGAACTAGGGAAATTACATATTCTGCACAAATGCAGTGAGAAAGCTGAGTGTTGAACAAATGCTGGAACTGGTTGAAAAATCTGAAACTGGGTTGTTAATGCAAAAAAGCAAAGCATTACCGCTAACTAAAAGCTAAAAGAAGAAGAGCATGAGCTAAATGCTAGAAACAAAAAAAACGTTGTGAGATAAAAAACATTTTCATCTCTGTCTACTGGGTTATGAAGACAACAGATCCAGGAGTAAAACCCATAACTCCATATCCCCAGCAAAACTCTCCAGCTCATCCTGGGGGACTCATAAGTGTTCCCAGGCCAGGGAGGATCCATAATCCCTCCAACATGAGAGGCATCTAGGAAGTATCCTAAGCTTGAACCACCTCAGCTGACTTGTTGCATGCAAAAGTGCAATGGCTCTACTCATTCGCTCCCTCTGGATGACAGAGCTCCTCACCCAATCTCTAAAGCTGAGCCTGGCTACCCTACAAAGGAAACTCATTTTGGCTGCTAGTGTCTGGGATCTTGTTTTTAAGTCATGATCACAAACCAGCGGATCATCAATCACTCTATTATAGTACAGTCGACCAAAGATTCATTTACTCATTATAGAAGACCAGTAGCACCCCTCACAGAATGCCTCAGGGAACACGTTCATAAGCTTTCTACTGGTCCACAAAACACATGTAAACTGGAGAGTCAAACTCTCATGACCCTTTTAATAACCTATTAAGGATGAAGATCTGGTCCACTGTTCAATGACCAGGACGAAAGCCACACTGCTCCTACTTAATCTGAGATTAGCTAAAAAAAACACGCTGCAAAATACTAGCTAAAAGCAACAAAACACTAGCTAAAAGTAGCAACATGCCTGGGCTATGTTGAAGCTAAAAGTAGCAACAGGCTAGCCTAAAATTAAAAAAGCAAAACACTTGTCAGAATCAACAAAATTCTAGTTAAAATTCGTTGTCAGGCTAAAGCTAAAGTAGTAAAAGAGTAAAGAGCATAGCTATATATTTTGAAAGGTATAAAAGCTACAAAACCAAAATTCAGATTATCTACTTCTTCATTGAGCTTTGATAATTGATTGGCTAAAATGGCACAGAGTATCCTGATGCATGCTCATCATGCTCATGCTCATGCTTGAGGGCACAGAGTAGTTGAAAAATGTATGGAATAGTTGAAACACTTGTGAATGTGAGAAGGAGGTACCTTTGTGATTGACGTTTCGTGTCGTCCCATCAGGTAAGAGGCGGGCCCATGAGAAAGACAGCCGATAGTGCGTCAGTCCGAGCTGCCGGATACACTCCAGGTCTTTCTCCCACAGCTCGTAGCTGTTACAGGCCACATCTCCATTCTGGTCCTCGAACACTCGTCCTTTCTCGTGACTAAATGTGTCCCAGATACTCGGTCCCTTCCCGTCTGCCTGCCATCCACCTGAACCAGAACAAAAACGTTGAATTTGGAGATGTTTACAATGTGGACATAAAGACTAATGATTGAAAACACGTATTACTTGTCTGAGTGTATGTACAAAAAAAATAATCATCTCATGAACCAATGGATGTTTTCATAGTGAAATAGACGTACATCTACACCTTGTTCATTTTTGGTGGCTTGATTCAAAATGGCTCAATTTTGCCATTAAGTTCTGTCTGTCTGTTAGCAAAATATCTCATGAACTACTGCACATATTTTAATGAAATATAACCAGTGGATGCACATCTACACCTGATTCTGTGTCTGGCTTCATCATGGGATGGGTTTTGTTTAAAGCTCTGTCATGGAAGTCAACCGTCGAGGTGCATTCCTTCAAAGAATGCTCAGTCTTTATTTGTTACAGAATTTGTGCAGGCAGGTTCAGTTTGGTTCCAGTGATCTCTGTCCTACTTTGTGACTACAGTATACTGGTTTGGTTTCCTTTGGAAAGGCGCCTCGCCTGTCTTCCCATAACGAGTGCATTTCCACTTGTTCAAGTTTTGGTTTGTAATTAGACTAAGCACGGTCACACCGGCTCTGTTCACAGACGCACGGTGGGTTCTGCTGTTGCAGAAAACTGCTCACCCTCCCTTGCTATCGCTTTGTACAGACACTGTGTAGAACGTGCCAATAAATAGAATAAAAATCCAAACTTTATGTTTTCTTCTGTTCCTTTTAGCACAAAGACAATACAAATTTTAAATATTTAGGATTTACAACCATGGTTATTCTAGGAAAATCATAGCACACTACTACTACTACTGCTGCTACTATTAATAATAACCATCATCATAATCATCATACAATAATAATAATAATAATAATCATCATTATTATTATAAATGTACATTCAGTAACTATTATCTTGTACCCGATAGTTCATTTAAAATGCATGAGTTGAATAATGTGATACTTTGTTTACTTACAAACTTAATACAGTACATACACAGGTAAAAACATTATCGCCCACATTAGCCCTTTAGGTGGGGGAGAAAAGACAGATGATTTAAATCTTTTGCACAGGACAGTATGAATCACATTGCATAAATAATATGGTGCTAATTTGCGTTATACGTTACAAAGGTATAGAGAAAAAGACATGATAGTTTTAATATTTAGTATTATATTGCTAAAACAGTTACTATTCGAGCCTTAATGAGTTATTAAAGATGGTTCTGTCATGCTTCTGTTTACCTTCAATTTGATACGCCGAAGTTGACGCTCCCCAAGCAAAGTCAGAAGGAAACATGTTTTCTGAGCCTTAAATGTGCCACACAACGAGTTTATCCCTTTCTTTGGCGTTTAAGAGGTTTATCTCGTGCTTCTTATGTGTCGCAGCTCTTTTTTATGGCACCACTTTGAACGTTCCTAAGATTTGCCGCTCACTGGGCGTGGCCTATATGTCACGTGGTGCGCTTTATCCAATAGGAAGGACACAACGTGTTTTCTTTACTGCACACGAAAATTCAAAAAAAGCGTTCAAAACAAAAACAACTGGACTTTATTTGTAACAGAAGACGTTTCGCTCCTCATCCGAGGAGCTTTCTCAATTCAAAGAGCAGTGAGTGAGAGATTCAGGTTATAAGGCTGAGTGAGATAAGACACACACATATGTAGATTGGCAATTCACACCTAAACACCTTATCAGTAAGAGTCTTTTGTTCCTCTAATTCACAGATGAGGCCCCTCTGTTTCCATCAGGTGTGAAAACTGGCTGGGAATTTGTCTTAAAGTTGCATTATATGTTTTTGAAAGTTGAAATCTGAGGCCTCCTCCTCTGTTAAGAGACAGTTTTTCTCTTTTTACATAAATTGCTTCCTTCACCCCCCTCTCAAACCATCTGTGTTCTCGGTCCAAAATGTGCACATTTTGGACCTCAAAAGAGTGTCCCTTATCTGTGAGGTGGAGGTGAACAGCTGAGTCTTGTCCAGAGGAGCTGGCTCTCCTGTGTTGAGCCATGCGTCTGTGAAGAGGCTGTTTAGTTTCTCCATTGAAGAGGTCTGGACAGTCCTCGCTGCACTGGACCGCATACACTACACCACTCTGTTTGTGTTTGGGTGTTTTGTCCTTAGGGTGGACCAGCCTCTGTCTGAGAGTCCTGCTGGGTTTGAAATGTACTGGGATGTTGTGTTAGTTGAAGATCCTTCTGAATTTCTCTGATACTCCAGCAACATAAGGGATGATGATGTTTTTCCGTCTGTTGTTCTCCTTTTTCTGTTTATTAGTGTGTTTTGTAGATTTCTTCGCTGACTTGACAAAAGCCCAGTTACGATATCCACATATTTGGAGAACTTCTTGGATGTGTTTCTGTTTCTTTTCCTTCCCTTGTGTCTTCATGGGGACACGTTCGGCCCGATGCTGTAAAGTTCTGATGACAGAGAGTTTGTGTTCCAGTGGATGGTGGGAGTCAAACAGAAGATACTGGTCTGTGTGGGTTGGTTTTCTGTAAACTTCAATGTTCAATTCAATTCAATTCAATAATACTTTATTAATCCCAAAGGGAAATTATTTGTTGTTGTAACTCGTTGTCCTCATTTCATTAAGAGATGTTGTAGATGCTGATGGCTGTAGACAGGAAGGATCTCTTGTAAAGGTCCATCCCACAGTGGATCCTAAGAAACTGGCTGCAGATGCCGTCCGATCCGTCCACCCAGACTCGGCTGGCCTCTCGGTTCCCCCGGGCTGTAGGACCACCCGAATGCTGGGCAGAACTCCTCCCAGAGCGATGGTCACTCCTCCCAGCAGTCTGCCGAGCTCCTCATAGCTGCGGACAGCCAACTGTAGGTGCCCAGGGACGATCCTGTCCTTCCCCTGTCATGAGCCGTGTTTCCTGCTAGTTCCAGGATCTCAGTGGTCAGGCACTCGAGCACAGCTGGCAGGTAGATGAGAATGCGTCCACATAACATCCTTTTCAACTCTTTTGAGATTTGGGGCTGTAGTTGATATATTATTTGAGCTTTTGAGATGTTAATCAGCTGCTGTTGTAGAAAACTGCCTTGTTGCCATGGTTATGCATCATAACAAATGTCCAAAACTAAAAAAAGTTCAGGAAACGATCATCCCAAAAATGTGATTTACATCCAAAAAATCAGGAATTAGTTTCCAAAAGCAAAATCTCAGAATGAAAGTAACAGAGCTGCTCCAACATGCAGCCACCTTGAGCGGCGCAATTCTAGAACTTAAGTTGAGGCTGTCCTCTCTTTCCATCTGAACCAAACAGTCCAAAAAAAGGCAGCTTGTTGTCGTTTGCATCTTCTCTGGTGAACTTGATGTTGTTAAGAGAACACAGATGGTTTGAGAGGGTTGGCTTGTTATGCTGCCATAGGCTTAGACTACTGAAGGACAAATTTACCTTGTTTTTAAAAATGAATTGTTACAATTGAATAGTTTTCATTTGAAATTATTTCTGTCTTAACATGTGATTCTCAACCTGCCATTGTGTATCTGTTCCTCCTTCCTGTCCCCTCAAACCCAGCCGGTCGATGCAGATGGCTGCTTATGCTGAAGGTTTCTTCCTCGTGAGGGAGTTTTTCCTTTCCACTGTCGCCTTTATGCTTGCTCAAGATGAGAGTCTGCGATAGAGTTATATTCAAAGCAGTCTGCTCCTCAGATAAATAATGTTATTAACTTTTTATCTATATGAATGATTCTGTTCAGTGCCCTGAGATGACTTCTGTTGTGACTTGGCGCTATATAAATAAACTGAATTGAATTATAAGACATATGGTTTTGGAAAAATATATGCAAACTATTTTTGGTTTTATTGTCAACTTAACAAAATTATAAAAAATTAGTCACTTCAGTATTACTGCCAAGTTACTGCTACAACGTAGTCACTTTTTTTGCACAAAGAACATCTTCAAGTGCATTTCATGCTGTTAAAATTGTGAATAAGGTCTAAAAAAAACTGTTATTTTGCCTTAACTAATACTTTTTTAGATTGTACTTTACTTACTTTGTACTTTTATTTAAAACTCCACTTGAAACCCTCAAGAGAGGTGTTATCATTGGTTGCAGGTACACTTTTAATCCACATGGAGGCAGAAGGAACAGGTCCAATAACTACTGTAGGTAGGTCACCTCCTGATAAGGAAGTTACTTTTTGTAACATTTCTGTGATTTTACAGCAAGTGACTTCAGCTGTGTTTTGTCAACTATTTTGTATTCTTTGGATAAAGATGATTAAAGTCTGAAAAGGGCTTATTAACCTTTTTCCAGTTTTTATAATAATGTAATTATTTTGAAACTCCTATTCCGTGGTTCATAAGATATTTTTACTTCTTAAATTCCAGACCAATTTTTCTTATCAGGCCTCTTTTGATGGCAACTCTGAAGTCTTTGATGCGGTCATTTCAAGAGGGGCATGCCATATTTAACACGACTAAGAAGACGTGCACTGTGGGTTAGGTGTGTCACCAGAAAGTGTCTGTTCCTTTTCTCAGTTGAATTACCACAAATCATATTTTGATATTAACTTCACCTTGGATTTATACCTCATTAAATGTTCACAGCCTCAGAGTTAAAATGTCCAGTCAGCTTCAAACAGTTTTAATATTGTGCCATATTTTTGCACTTTAACTTCAAATTCATCATTGTACATGCATGCATGCATAAAAGGAATGGTTTGAACTTTTGAAGGGGTGTTCTCCACAAAATACTACTTCAAACAAAAACCAAACAATCCCTCCAAGTAGAAGGCAAACTCTCAATAATTCTTAGAAGGGATGGGATGTTTGACAAAATTTCAGACAACTATATCACAAAATAATACACTCACTTCAGTTTCTACTGTAAATCTATAAATGATGAATACTGGGATGATAGCAGCTTAAAAGTGGGTGATCAGTGACATAATGACAGATATATTACACTCTAATTTGTGAGCTTTTAATAAAGTTGCATCAGTTGTACAGTTCTCATTTTCATCACACTCTGACATAGACTTGACCAAATGTTCTCATTGGGTTTGCCCAGACTTTTGGTGTTTTGAGATGATCTTCGCAAATTCCTGCCCATACAGGTACATGGTTCGACTCAGCTTGGCATCAGAGAAGTCCACGTGGAACAGCCCGAAACGAACACTGAATCCATCAGCCCATTCGAAGTTGTCCATCAGTGACCAAGCAAAATATCCATGGACCTTGACTCCATCTTCCTGCATAGCTGAGCACAACAAAAAAACAGAAGGGTGGGTTAAAATCTATGTGTGTTCACCAAACAGAATATTTCTCCTTTTATTATGGTTAAAGTCGTCTTGTGAATCCATGACAGTAATTATGACATGAGAATAACAATGTCGTTGGAAAGTGCTTCAATCACAACACAAGAGTCCCTCAATACTTTGCAGTTCAACTTTCGCGGACTCATTCGTTCACGGGTTTTCAACGTATGATTGTACACATTGTTTCCCGGTGGCCTGGCCCACTCAGTGTTTGCCGAGGGGCCCCCTCCTTTCTCTTTCTGAGGCAGATCTGTGCAGACAGCCTGAGAAAAAGAAAGAAGGGGGTGGGGTCCATCTTTCCCCATCGCTGCTGTGGGAGCTTCAGTGAAGCGGATACCAGAGTGAGCAGCATGGATTGTTTATTTAAAATAATCAAGTGCGACCTGAGCCGAGCCTTAACCCGAACCGAGCCCGTCCGCCCCCGGGCACCAATTAGCTCAGTAACCGTAGCATCAGTGTGTCTGCTCTCTTTGGCTGTGCTTCTATTAGAGCGTTTAGACTCTAAATGTGAGTTTATAACATTGCAAGAATGTGGGAAGGGTTTCTAAAGTTGTAAAATATATATACTAAAATAAATATGTTGTCTGGAACATAACCTCTGCAATAAGTGAGGGACTACTGTATACTACATATTAGCTTATAAACAAATAACAAAAAAAATCTAAGAACATATCAATCTACCTCTATATATGCATTTAGGAAGACTTCTTAGGCCATCTTGTTAGGTTAGGTTCATTTGTCATATGCAAAAACAACAAAAGGTCAACAGTGCAATGAAATGCTTAGGAAGAGAAGAACCATCTCGACTCGGCAAACAACAAAAAAATAAAACAAACAAACCAAAAAAAAAATAAATAAATACCAAAGCATGCAGCAAAAAAATACTAAAAACATACTAAAAATACTCCTAAAATACTAAAAACAAGGTGCCAAAGTTGAAAAATAAGTACATCTACAGTGTGGTTCGGATAGCAGTGAGGTTCTTTCAACTGCGTGGTTCTGTTCTGTTAGCGGCGTGGTCTTATTAGCAGCTTAGCAGGTCTTGTTAGCAGGTCCTGCTAGCAGATTGATGG